GATCAATAGTAGTTGTTCTCTACTCATTTTTAACTTGAGCTTATCTACTTATAACTGTAGGAAAAAATATTAAGTGGTTTTTCTAACCCGTAATAGTTTACCTTAGAGATCAAGAATCAAATATTTAGTAATTTATATTTATTTATCTAAATTTTGGTGAATAAAGTTATCACAAACATATGTATTGGTGGGAAAGTCGAGATAGACAAATTTGACCGGACATTACTCTTATTAAAATTGAGCTGAAAGTAAGTGACATACCAGTGAATTACTGGTCTATAATTAGTGACTTTTTAGCTTTTTATTTTGGTCCAAAATAAATATCTTTTTATATAATCAAGAACGAATTAACTTTATTTTTTCAAAATTTGCCCTTATTTATATATCTCTATGTGTCAAGTTAACAATATGTAAATTTTAATTAAGGGTAATTTAGTCAAAAACATTCTCTAAAAATTACTCTCCGTTCCATTTTATGTGAACCTATTTCGTTTTTGGCCTATTCCAAAAAGAATGACCCTCTTTAAATTTGAAAACAATTTAGCTTAAACTTTTAATTCTACCTTTAATAAAAAGTTTTTATAACCAGACAAATACTCCGGACCTCCTTTTGACTTATTTAGGACCATAAATTACCAAAGTCTTTATTTTTTTAAGCTTCGTACTCAATCAAACAGATTCACATAAATTAGAACGAAAAAAATAATATATTTTTAAGGAGTGTATCAACCGAAATGTCACTTATTATGAAGTGGATGGAGTAACTCTTATATGAAGATGATAAGGGGAGGATAAAGAAAAAGTAAGTCATATTTGATTAGTGTTTTTGTGGAGATTGATGATCTAATTTAATGCTTTATATCATAATGTGAAAGCATGAGAGACAGGTTGGAGAGGGGTGGTGGCCCATATGTTGATTCAGACACTTGTGTTTGTGACAAAATACAATGAAATAATTGAACGTGAAAAGCTTTACTTTATCTTTGACCCCCATCTTCTCTTTCTCCTCATTATTATTATATATACAAAATTCCTAATAGTAGTTTGGTACTATTACCCCCAACAATTGCCAAATACCCAACTCCATTTTTTTTCATAAGAGGTCCCCTCTCTTTTATCTTTCTCTACAGTAAAGACTGCTTTTTTCGTCCATTTCTCAAGGAAAGTTATCATCTTTGTGACTTCAGGTACTATTTTTTGAACTGGTCCAGTGATTTGCTGGGTGGGTTTTACTTTGTTTTTTAGCATATGGGTCTTTGTGGGGTTTAACGATTTTTCTTGGTAGGGTTTTCTTGGAAAGAAAAAGGTGGGTCTTTTGCACAAGATCTGTGTGCTTTCATTGACCCTTCTTCTATTTCTTTTTCATCTATGTGGTGGGGTTGTTCTTATCTCCTTCTTTTGTGGTCTTTGATTGCTCTTTTAATGTCTGCATTTTGATTTTTCTTAGGTTCTTGTTTCCTGGAAAAGAGAGAAGAAATTGGCCAGTTTTTGAGGTAAATGTCCTAGACATTAGCTGTTTTAGACCTTTTATTGTTACTGCTAATAATGATCTGTGACTGCTAATTAATCTGTGTTGGATAACATGGTGTTTTGCATAACCTACTTATTAAAAAAATTGTCTATTTTGACCTTGTAGACTTTGATTTCATCATTCCTACCCTTTGTGTGTTTCTCCTTTTACTAATTGTTTCAGATCTTTTCTCTTTCTTGAGATAGTGCACTGGATTGTCCTTTTATAGTTTTTTTGCTTCAATTTAGGAACTTTCACTGTGATGTGTTGTGGAATTTGTTTTTTATGGTTTTCTTGTTTCAATTTAGGAAGTTTCTGTTGTTGATGGAGCTGCTGATGTTAATCTCTTTTTCTAATAACAAGGGGGTTAATTATGTGAACTTGGAGTTCGAGTAATGGGTTTGGTCAGCTCACTGCATTTAGGTATCAGTATTCTTCGTGATGGCCTCAACACCTTCTACCAAGAGTTCTCGTAGGTCTTCACCTTCCCAAGTTTCAAAAAGTAACAAATTAGAGATCGCAACTTCTAAAGAACGAGAAGTTGTATCGAAGCAGCTTATGGTTGAAGCAACAGCCAGCAAAAAGTCACAGAGCTCTCAGCCTAAGGGATCTCCCAACTTGCTTGCTGATAAATTCGATTCAAGCTTATATTTGGGCAATTCGAAAGAAGCACCAGGCGGTGTAGGCACTCTGCCTACCGAGGCGAAGGGCCCACAAGGCAGCACAGCTGATCAGGAGAGGAAGAGTTCTATTAAGGACAGCTCAGCATCAGCTAAAGTTAGTGATGGGGCTAGTAGCCTTGCGAAAACAAGTGGAAGTGCCAAAATTAGTGATCGAGCAGATTTTCTTGAGAGTGGTAAGAGCAGCATCTGTAGGGGGAGCACAGGCACTGATGTAAGTGAGGAGAGTACTTCTAGCAGCTTGAGCAGCAGTGTCAACAAACCTCATAAAGCTAATGACTCGAGATGGGAAGCAATTCAAGCTATCCGAACTAAAGATGGGATGTTGGATTTGAGGCATTTCCGGTTGCTGAAGAAGTTGGGAAGTGGTGATATTGGAAGTGTGTATCTATCTGAGTTATGTGGTACAAAGTGTTATTTTGCCATGAAAGTTATGGATAAGGCGTCATTAGCCAGTCGTAAGAAATTGCNATGTTATTTTGCCATGAAAGTTATGGATAAGGCGTCATTAGCTAGTCGTAAGAAATTGCTTCGTGCACAGACAGAAAGAGAGATATTGCAGTCCTTGGACCATCCATTTCTCCCAACACTATATAGCCATTTTGAAACAGAAAAGTTTTCATGTCTAGTAATGGAGTTCTGCCCAGGAGGAGACTTGCACACACTTCGTCAAAGGCAACCAGGGAAGCATTTTTCAGAACAAGCAGTGAAGTATGATATTTGATCTCTAACCTTACAGTCTTGAAATAGTTTTTTCTTTCTTTTAGAAATGTTCTGCATCTTTTGTTGCCTTCAGGTCTGGAGTAATTAATTCCTTAATTTACAATATTGGCTATAGCTTTAACTTTTAGGTTCAGATATGTTCTTGTTACAGCTCTAGACATAATTGATCCAAATTGACAGAAATACTGATAGCAATCGAGGGATATAAATGTCTTTAAGTGGCATATGATTCTTTTGGGGGTTTCTTCTTCATCGAGTTCTTTACGCTGTTGACTCAAGCAATTTAATCGAAGCAAACTGACTTCTGTACAAGTTCTTTCAAGTCCTAATGTTTTTGGATTGCATGTCCTAACCGGTTATTTCATTTACTACTGGACATTTTCATTGCACAGTGACTTCATCCTGATAATCCGTTAGTTCAAAAAGCTGGTTATTTGATATGATGGCTTTATTCTTTGTTCAGTGGTTTGGATACTATAACTTAAATTTTTAAAAGATGTACTTGAGCTACTTTGGGTATTATTTGCTAAGATTTTTCTTCCTAACTCAAGTGGATGTTTGAGCTGGTTTATCTTCCCGAGCTAGATTGAGTTGTTTGTGTCCTCTTATGTTTGTTGCATGTTCTTCTTGTCAACTATTTCCAATTCGACGCATGCTCCAAGTTACTGTTGCTACTTCTTTAACTGCTTTTACAAAAACGAAAATTACCAATAAGAAGTCTCAGTTTCTTACTTGTGTGTATTTGCTCGAGAAAAGGGAGAGCTTTTTTTTTTTTTTTAAAAGGAGAGAGCTTTGAAGTAGGTAGGGGAAAGTTACTCTATCGGGCAGTTAGTAATACACTTCGTTTTGCTATCAATTTATTCTCATTTTCTCTCTATTTTGGGGAAAGAAAAAGGCATTGCTTAATTGCACATTGTAATGCTGTTGATTCTACACCAAGGTTTGCTGCTCCGCAGGTGCAGGCACATAACGTATTTCTATGTCCTTTAAGATATGACATCTAAAGACCTTTCTTCTTGTTCAACTATTAATTTTTTTTATACCTAATAAGCTCTTATAAGATAACCCATCCAAATTTCTTTTCAATATCTTGCTTAAGTCAAATTCTGCTGGTTAATAATTTAATATATAAGATGGCGGAAGCATTTAAATAACAAAGGTCTGAGGTAAGTGCTGCCTCCCCCTGCCCCTGAGAAATAGACAAAGATGATTTTTTTGGAGCATTGAAAACCTAGTTTGTCACTATCAAATGATATCACTTGCTCACTAGTCACTACCATTCAGTAGTTATATTTTTTCCTTTTTTTGGACATCTTTCTGGCAGCTACTTTATTTGATGATTCCTGCCCTCTTGTCCAAGTTACTGAAATGATGAAGCCTTAGCCAGCTCTTCAGTTTGAAGTTTAGTCGGCAGTTCTCTCTTCATTGATAGGGATGTGTCAGTTTTTAGGAGGAAATGAAATATAAGGAATATATGTATAATTTTCTTGTGAGATGAATAAATCTGTTGGTCACTGTGGTTGATTAATTTATAAGTGCTGTATTGTATCCTAAACTTGCAGGTTCTAC